GGATGGATGCAGTGGGGGTGGTGAGGGAGGGACAAATTCTAGAGCTCTCTTTTCTGCAGGCTCTGGCACATGCGGTTTGTGAGGGGGAGGTAGGCAGAAGTGTCCTTGCCTTTCTTTGTTTCTGGGTGGAGTGTGTACTGCACAGAAATGAGACCCACCATAACCAGGAACTTCTTGACGAACCCTCCCTATTCAAACTCAGGAACCAACTAGGCACAGACACATCTTCAGATGAACCCATCACTACTTCAATTCTTGCTGCTCACCACCCAAAACTCAGAACCGAATAGATGAGGCTAATATGACTGCCTTTACTATCCAGATTCTTGCTTTCTTAGAAATGGAATGGATTTGGACAGCAAGGGATATTTGCACATTAATATAGTATGTATGATAGTTTTTATACCTTTAGTATCTGTTGATTGAGAGAATATATAAAATTAATGTACATTCAATAAGAGTGTTAAGTGATTATATTTTTTGAAGCACAGAAATCTTCACATCATTTGATTTATACCTAAGCACATTTTATTTTATTTTATCTTATTTTAATGCTGTTGTAAATGGTATTGTTTTTCTTATTTTATTTTATTTATATTTATTTATTTAATTGAAGTACAGTCAGTTACAATGTGTCAGTCTTTGGTGTACAGCGCAGTATTGTTTTTCAAATTTCAAATTCCAGTTGTTCATTGCTGACATACAGGAGTGCAACTGACTTTTGTATATTGATCTATTTATCTTGTATCCTGTGATCATGCTATATCCAATTATTAGTTCCAGTAGGTTCTTTTTATAGATTTTGTAGAGTTTTTTTTCTTTTTTTTTTGTGTGTGGGTGGGTAATTAGGTTTATTTATTTATTTTATTGGAGGTACTGGGTATTGAACCCAGGACCTCATGCATGCTAAGCACACACTCTACCACTGAGCTATACCCTCCCACCGAGTTTTTATTTTCTAGATAAGCATGCTATCTGAGAACAAAAGCGGTTTTATTTTTTCTTTTCAATATGCATACCTTTTATTTCTTTTTCTTGTCTTATTGCACTAGCTAGAACTTTCTCCACATACATTTGAGAAACAGTCCCATATCCATGTTAGAAATATTCAGTTATAGTGTATCTGGATTCTCAAACTCCCTTGCAGTAAATCCAGGGTCCATGGTAGGAAATTACTGATCTGCCTGTCATGCTGTTCACCCTGGTGGGTGAGAATCATAACCTTAGAGGGTCCCCACAGGGAGTGTCGGGCAGACGCAGCTTTGTGTCTAGAAGTGACTCCCAGCTCAGTGTTCCCTGTGGCCTCTGCCTTTTCTGTGTCTCAGAAGTGCTTCTTGCCTGGCTCTAAGCCATGGAGCTCAAGCTGGGTGTGTGTTTGGGAGTTTGTGGTGGGTGGGGCAGGAGGGACAGGCAGGAGGGCTGTGTTTCTGGGCTGATCTGGGCTGGCCTCTCCCTTCAGGAAGAGTTTATGTTCTGGGATCTGGGCTCGGAGCAGGGAACAGTGCCAGCATCCTGCAGGGTGGCAGGGTGTGGTGAGCGGAGGCTGCAGCAGGTTCTCTGAGAACTGCAATGTGCGTTCTAGCCATGGCTGGGGGAATGCCTGCCTCCCACTGTTTCACTGACATCCACTGTGTGCCAGGAAGGCTCCTCAAACACCAGTCAGAGTTGACACATTTCAGGGGACAGTCTCTGTCAGCTTTCTCATTGCACAGATGGGGCATCTGAAAAAGAGGCATTGCTAATGCAAGAACCCAGGTCTCTCTGGAGACAGAACAAGTGTGCCTGGCGGCCAGGGCTGAAGCCCTGGGAAGACTTACCCTGTATGCACAATAACTGTACGGTTTTCCACTGACTCTAAGATACAATCAGTTATAAGATGCACCATTATTTTATATACCTGGGAGAAAGACTAAACAATGCCACCTAAGTTATGATATGCCATCATGTAAGACACACGCTGATTTTAAAGATGTGGAAGTGTGAAAAAAATGTACATCTTAGAACTGATAAAATAAGATGAATTTATAAAATTAATAGTCATATGAAATTAAATGTGCAGTGTGAAAATTGAGTTTCCCCTGCCTCTTATCAAATTCTGCTCTATAGAGATAATGTCTGTTGACACATTGGTGCTGTCCTTCCAGAAATTTTAATGCACCTTTAAGTGTATTTATGTATTAATAATTATTTTTTATTAAACATTTTAA